GGGCGGTCCGCCGCCGCTCTCGCTTTTGGGTGAGGACCGGCGGCGCAGCGGAAAACGGTGCCAAGTGCGGGCCTGCGGCTGTGAGGGATGCGGCGTTGGCGCGTTCGCTACGGCCCGCTGGCCCAATTATGGCTGGCCACCTCGCTCTGGTGGCTGCCCGCCCCGCCTTCTCCCTGCACCTGTGTTCCCAGGCACACCGAGCTGGAAGTGCATTGAGGAGGTGCCTTCAGGTGCGGAGGGGTTTGGGGGCAGTTTGGGTTTGGGAGGCAGTCTGGGTTTGGGGGCAGTTTGGGTTTGTGAGGGCAGTGGTGTAGTTCACACGAAGGGCCCGACGACGGCAGGGTCAGGCAACACCCCAGCAGCGGTGCCCTAGGGGGTTGCTTGGGTGACGCTGGGGTGACGGCCCGGTGACCGTGGGGCCAGCATGAGGGGTGATTGGACGGGTCGTCCCGGCACCACCGTCATGGGAGCAGGAGTATTTGTGGCGGATGGAGTTGGACAAAGAGAACCTCAAAAAGTTCTCGTTTGCCGATATGGCCACTCCCATTGCTGCAAATTCTGCCCCTGCTCGTGACAGAGGCGTGGCGCAGCTACCTGCGGAAGATCCCTGGCAGGTAGGCGGGCTGCTGCTCTTGCTGCTCGTGGTGGTGGTGGTGGTGATGGTGGTGGTGGTAGTTTCAGCGGCGGTGGTGGTGGCAAGCCCCAGGCAGGCGGGGCACGCAGGCACCGAGGAGCTAGCCGCGAGGGAGGTTTGGTCGCAACAGCCGGCGCGCCTGGGGGTCAGCAACGCCCCATGATCAGCACCAGCTTGCACGCGACCCCTTTGGCCCCGCCCCCAGATTTCGCACCTGCAAATCACACCCATCATGCACAGAAGCGCCCGCGTCAGCCGTCCCTCACTCCATCCGCCTCCCCCAAACTCCAGGGCCCCCACCCTGTACCGCCGTTTCGGCGTGGCGGGGGAAGTGGCCGTAGACCTGCTGCAGCGCCTGCTTACGTTCGACCCAGCCAGGTGATCCGCGGTCGCCCCCATGCAACGCGTCCATCCAGCGATGCGAGCAGCCGCGCATGCGACCAGCACTGCCATCAAGTCGCGCGCTGGCTGCGGCGCGGTGCCTGCGTACAGCAGGTGTTTTTTCAGCCTGAGGCCGCTAACCACCATTGCAGTCAACGCCCAGGGCGCCTGCTAAGCGCCAGCGGCCTGCGGCCAGCGCCTGCAGTGCTGTCGGCAACTGAACACTGCCGCCGTTTTCTGTTGGCACACTTGTCTGCTTGCCCTCTGGCTTTGCGCCGCTTGAGTGATTTGCTCACGGTTCATCCCGGAAGCGTCGTTGCTGCAACGCTTTCAGCCGCATCCCCTCTTGAACCCCTTTGTGTGCCCGCAGGCGCGCGAGCTGCGCCGAGGCGATGGCCCACGAGTACTTCGCTGACGTCAGGGCCGCCGCCGACGCAGACGGCGGCTTCGACGGGCGCGGCTGCGAGGCCGGCGGCGAGCACGCGATGTTCAACGAAGCGCCAGACCTGAACCACTGCGGCGGCGGCGGCGACGGCGGCCGGAACGGCGGCGGCCAGCGGCGGCTGCGGGAGGCACAGGGGCAGCGGCTGGCGGAGGGGCGGGCGGAGGGCGTGCCCGAGGAGGCAGCGGCGCAGGAGCTGATGGCGTTGACGATGGACGTTGACTCGGGGGAGGGTTCAGAGGGGATGGAGGGCCCCAAGCGGCCGGACAGGGTCGAGGAGGATGCGGACGGCCCCTGCGGCGGGGGCGGGTCGTTCGCGCTGGGCCGGCTGGCCAAGCGCCCGCGGCAGCACGGCGCGGCGGAGGGGCAGGCAGCGGACGCGGCGGCGGCGCTGGCAGCGGGCACGGGCGTGGGCGCGGGCGCGGCGGGGGTGGCAGCGGGGCTGGACGCGCAGCCGTCGTTTTTGCCAGGGCCGCGCGGGTGAGGCTGCCGCCTGCCTGCGGCTCCCCAGAAGGCGGGCGGCCGCTGTGTGGCTGTTCAACTCCCAGCGGCGTCGCCGGCAGCCTGGGGGCGCACACAGGCGGTGGCGTGGTGCATGTTTGCGAAGCGTTGCGTGCAAGAGCGCGTGCGCACGCACACACACGCACACACGCACGCACACACACACACACACACACACACACACACACACACACACACACACACGCGCGCGCGCGCGCGAACGCACGCATGCTCGCACGCACGCATGCACACACACACACACACACACACACACACACACAGCAAAACAACAGCCAATACAACACCACACAACTCACGGCCCCCCACCCCCCCACCCCCAATCCCGTCCAGGGAGCATTACTACAACATTGACGACCCGGCAGAGGCCCTGGCCAAGCTGGAGGAGGAGATGGGGGCCATCTTATCACTGGTGGGCGGCAGTTGTGTGCAGCAAGCCGGCCGGAGGGCCGTCTGGCGTTTGGGAGGGCCGCGCAGACGGGGCGGCTTGGGGCAGGGGCGGGGGCGGTTTGGGGGCGGCAGTCTGGGGAGCAGGCGGCCTGCTGGGCCAGCCGGGCGCGGGGACATTCGAACAGGCGGTCGGGCTCGAAGGGTCCTCGCGGCGCAAACGCTGCGAGATTTCGGCGCTGCAACTGTATTGTATGCACGCTCCCTCCTGATTCGGCCACGGCTGTTGAGCCGTCCCGCCGCCACCCATCGGGGCCCTCGTCGGCGGGCAGGCTGACGGCGGCAAGCCCGGGCCCCCGAGCGGCAGCTCGGGAGCCACCAGCGAGGCCGCGGCCGCGGCAGCCACAGACGCGTTCCGGGAGCTTCTGGAGCGCGAGGTGGCGCGGCACAGTCAGCACCTTGAGGCGCGCCGCCTGCGCGCCGCGGCGC